TGTTGCTCCCATTCAGTTGCACTGAGGGGGCTGTTTGGCCCCATGGTGCCTTGTTTACAAGAGAACTTTGCAAAACAAAGACAGTCACGGTCAAAACTTTGCTGGTCCATTCAGTATATTTACATGGAAGAGCTCTGAGGAAAACAAGTGTTCTGACATAGCCTCATGGGATAGTTCAGTGGAAGTGGTAAGTGGCAGGGAATGATCTCATGGCTATCTAGATGTGTGGTGCCCACAGAAAAAGCAGCTGGTATTCAAACTTTCTTCATCCATGCAAAAACACTTGAGCAAAATGGAAAATGCCCAAGTGTTCTGCATGCAGGGAACAGTATTGTCCAAGTCTGGCTCCTGAGAAACTGGGCACAAGCTCCTTATAGGAGTGGAAAATGTGCCATGCCAACACCTGACAGTACATTCCAGACGTACGTCCACCGCACCATCTGAGCAGCTCCCAGGAACGATCCAATTTTCCCCCTTCCTTTTAACTGACAGAATGGAATTGCTCTGGATTTACAACGAAGCACAAACTGAAAGCACAGTTGGAGCCACTGTTTTTTAAGAAGACCTTGCTATGCCATAACTTTTCACGGTTCAGTTGCTAAATTACACATTATAAAAATAAGTAAGTGCAATTGAGGGACTGTGTCAATCTCAGAAGTTTAAACATCACCCTGTAATGGCTGCTTTATAGTAGCCCACAGTAAAGGGGTTTATGGGGCGTGCAGGAGGTTTGTCCGCACGCGTCCGTTAAACACTCCTGGGAATTTTCTCACATGGAGAGACGAGGCCTGACACAAACTAAACACAAAACATTGCCAGTCATTCACACGGCAACAGGAATGCCACCCAGTAAGAAAACACTTTACAACACCTGAAAGAGATAAGATCCACTGGCCAGCACGGGCAATATGTTGCTTTTGGAAATGCAGAATTTCCCAACCTGACAGTCAGTGCAGATTCTGGAAACGCTGACAAAAACACAACTGTCCCCTTGTAAGGAAATGAGAGCTTAAGTGTTGATTATAAATAGATGATAAAGATGCACGAGTGGTTTGCAGAGGAGTTTACTAAAGCCAAGAGTATTTAAAGCCAAATTAGGTTCTTGTACATAAAAGTTCCCTGGAATTTAGGGTGAGTTCATTTGTGATTCCTTGCTCAGGCAGCCTGGGGCTGACAGAGTGCACCCAACTGCCCTTTCTCTCAAGCCAAACAGAGGATCCATCCAGGCTGACTCAGAGATCCCAGGTAAAAAGGCTTCTCAATCAACTAAATATGACGGTAATGAAGTAGCAGACATGGTATCAGTGTTGTGTTGTTTTATTGTTTAATAATCATTCTTCAGAATAGCACCACAGCTAAGCAAGGGTGAGTCAGTCTGGGGCTCTCGGGGTACAAAAAGCGATGCCATACAAGGCAAATGTAACCACACCCAGCAAGGCACCACCTGAAGACCTTTGTGCAAAAGCATCACCTCCCTCAGCCCTAAAACACAAGCAGTGAACTGAGGAGAATTCTTAATCCTTCGGTGTTACCATTATTAGAGTATCATTCACCCACTTGTCTGCAAGCTGCCTTCTTCTCCCACCAACTGCTTCGTCTCACAACAATGCCTCACTTCGGGCTCAGAAGAGCAACACAAAGCTCTCCCCTGAGCTTATGGCAGTGTCCCCATGATCACTTGGTGGGAGGCAGCATGACAATGATTTGACAGGCATCCTCCCAGGGAGACTCCACACATCAGTCACGCCGCTGACACACTCCACACCCAAAGGAGCTCATCCAGACTAGGGAACAGTGCTCCTCACTGACCATCCAAAAGCAGCAGGTTTTTCCATTTCACTAAGGGCAGAACCAGAAAGAACCTGTTTCCTGTGATGGTCCTGGTGACACTGCCACACTGGTTTGAGCCAAGTCTGCCAGAGTAAAGCCAAGCAGCAGGTAACGAGCACAGAGCACTAAAATCTTATTTCTAGTCCACGAACAAATCTACTGACTGGCATCTAAAAGAGAATAGTACTGCAAAAACAATCACAGTTATCTTTTTATGGTGATCTTTTTATGATGTGCAAAGAGCCTTTCCAACAAAATAAAAATAATTCCACTTCAGATTTTCTTAAAGGAAAGTTAAGAACCACAGTATTTTCAGAGGATGTGCTGTTGTTGGGTAGCACCAAAAATGACCAACATTTACTGTGCAGTACATGAATTATCTTGATCTGACTGCTCCGACTTAATGAATTAATGATGACCCTTATGTCTTCAAATGGCATCTCACTTTAATATGGCACCAAAAAAATAAGTGTTTGAGTCACTCCTTCCCTTCATGTACTGCCATGAGACAAACATCCATCAGTTTATCACCAGTGCACCAATCTTTCTCAGACAACTGTTGTTTAAAGGACAGTCATGATAAACAGCTTGAATGAAGGAAGAAACACAAATCCTCTTTTTCTACGTGAGAAAAATGAAGGTTTGCAAATCTCTATGTAACAGCCTTAAATTTGCTGACTGGAAGTGCTGAGCTCTGCCCAGCGTCTCATTTCTGGAGCTCTGCACACTGGAACGCTCTGACATATGTGGGCAATGGGAAACTGGCTGTGATTGAGGCTTCTGCCATCTTTTAGGTATGATCAGGGTTCCTGGCAGTTCAACTGTTCTGGAAGATAATAAATCCCTTAGGAGACAGGAAGGCTGAACAATCACATACTTCAAACTAGCCCAACCTGTGTAGTTCCAAGAACAACTTCCAGTGCAGGTGATAGCAAGTGTATGATAAGTGAAGTTCCAGGAGAAAGCCAGTTGAAAAAACAGAATTAAGGGAAACAGACTGAACTGCTGGTTTTATGGACGCAGCTCAACTCCAGCACTCCGGCAATAAAACTAAAATGAACTCCCTCAAAGCTAAAAATCCCCAATAAAACTGAACAGGCAAGGTAATTATTTTGACTTGACAGAGGGAGAGGACAGGTCACTTGTTTCCACAGAGAGCACCTCACCTTGCTGACATCAAACAGCAAGACATCTTTCAGTTCTTCTGGGATTTCTCCCAAAGCTACATTTGCTGTGCCATGGATTTACCACACTGGCCAAGCCCGTACCACTCTGGGCTAAATAAGAACCTAAAGACCAAAAGAAAAGCAGCAGCATGTGCCCCAACAGCCTCTCCCGTGGTGTCACAGCTCCCCCACGGGACCAGGCTGCTTCTCCATTTCACATTCCCAGGACTGACCCTCTGCCCACATCCTGCTTATTAACGCAGGTTCCTCAGGATCTCAGCTGGGAGATTTGCTGAATCAATACCTGTCCTGTGAGGACAGAGTCGGGATGGCACCCATGGGATGAAGGGAACTTCTCTCTTTCCACCTTTCCCTTGGAAAAATGGAAGTGAACACCTGGTGTTAGCTCCAATATGAGAGAGTAATTCCATGACAGATGAACACTTGAATGACTGAAAATTTATATTACATGGGTGATAAAGGTGACATTTTCAACATCAGCTGTCTTTGCCCTTTCTCCCAAACCCCCTGGTAAGGACCCACCTACTCTATGAAGCTACAATTCTCTGCAGGTACAAAAGCAAAACTGGGAACTCCAGCAGTAACATAAAAGACATATTTATTGCCAAGCAGTATCACATCAAAGTAACCAAATGCCAAATTAACTTAAAAAATACAGCCAAATGCCTTATGAATTCACTGGATTTTCATTTTTGGCACCTTCAAAAAAGGAATTTTTTTTTTATTTTGCTGACAGGAAACCACACAGCACAACTGTCCTGTAATTGGAGCAATCAGACACACATGGGGACAAAATTTATAGGCAAAATAAACTGCTTGTGAACAGATCTGTTTGCTGTATTTCTAACCACCTCATTTTTTTTTTCTTCACTATTCAAGGGTTTGAGCTTTCTTTTTTTTTTCTTATCCTAGAAGTCCCAAGATTTTTATGTCCTGGTACTGTAGGGACCAATTTTCTAAATGTTTATTCTCAGGGCTGGCAATAGTGGTTTATTCCACTGAGAGGATAAGTAATTCACTTAAACAAAATTTAATGTTACAAACAAATGACTTATGTTTCTGGTAATTACTGAAATTGGGGGAGCAAGTTTTTTCATGAAACAAATTATGAAATTGCTTGTTTGTTTAGTATTAGTCAAGCATACCAATATTTCAGGGTTATGAAAATGACACTTTCTTCATTCTAGCCAGTCAAACCAGAAGATATTAAGCTTGAAGTTAACAGTATAAGTACAGCTCTTTGAAGAAAATCAAAAAGCCCCACATCCCCAAAAAACAGTTCATTTACTTCAGAAAAGGTAATAGTGTGGGATTGACCCACTGCCCCATTTTCTTGAAATTCTCAAATAGAACACACTAAAGTTCAAGCAAAACCAAAATTCTGCATACCTTTAGGAGCAGGAGCACACAGAAAACACTCTCAGGGTGAGCTGTTCCAGATAAGCACTTTGCTTGCAAAAAAATGTTGGAAGACAACCTTAGTCCTTGACTAAAATACATCTTCTTGGGACTTGTAATGGAAATCAAAGACTGATTTATAATCACTGTACCTTTTGCCATCGAGATGGGAAAGGTGCATTCAATGTACCTTCAACTTACATTCTGACAAAATAAATCATCTTTAAGAGTAACCTTAGCTCGGTGACATAATGAGCAATTAAAATTCCCAAGTTGCTAATATGCCTCTAGTAATTGTTTTGTATGTTACATCCAAGTACCTCCCTTCACAACTGAATTCCTCTCTGCTAAAAAAAATGCTGAAAAACCACTCTTGGTTTCACAAAGCACAGGCCAGGTGGGTGTCATTTGGGAATCCACACTGGTGTAAATAATTTTGTTCTCCCCACACCAAGAAAAATGGGGAAAACAGCAGTAAGTCACACCTGTTGAGAATGTTGTCTTTTTCTAATCACCCAATGCCATAAATTTATCATGTAATTCTACATTCACTTCATCAATAGAGAAGCCACTAGAGCTACTTCATCCTGGTTAAGTGCAAGGTTATTTATTCCATGAAGACACAAGTAGTTATGATAAATGCATTTATTTCAGATAATATTGGTTACACAGTCAATGGACACACTGATAATATACATCTGTAGCTTGAAATGCCTGACATGGTTTCCACTGAGCCCTCACCCCTCGATGCTCCTCCTCAGAGATGAAATTGTAGTTTAGGTTTATTAGGATTGTGTTCAATCAACCAGTCAGCGAGCCAAATCTGTGGACAAAAACCCCAAATGTTGTCAGTTTTCTGTTGTTTTCTACTAAATGTATGGGAGAATATTAAAAGCATTATTTGAAACCTCTGCTACAGATACTCTCCTACTGTGCTGCAAAATTAAGACCTTCCAGAAAAAAATGGACATAGAGATAACCTGCTTTTTCAAAATATTCTTTTAAATGTTCACAGCTTATATTGCTTTTGAACAATTCACGCTGACCTTTAGAAGACAACTCTTCCTGGCAGTGTTTATCTTTTTGTAATTGTAAGAACATTTGAGCCATATTTCAAATAATCCAGCCAGCTCTGCTTTGGAATGAGGCTGCAGGAGACACATGAAACTGCTTAATGAAATATTACTCCTGACAACACTTACAGATACCTCATCTAGTAATCATTCATTCAAAGTGCCAGCCTTCTGCACTCAAATCACTTTATAATACCTAAAACTTAAAACCAAAACGTGGTTACTTTTTGAAATTCATCTTGTAAGTTTTCCAGCATGTTGTACTTGAATAAGAATGTGGGAGGCAGGAATGTTGTGAGTCCCAACTCCATCTGCCAGTCTGGGCCTGGCCTTAGGCAAATTAACCTTTTGCCTCGATTTCTCCACTTGTAAAGCAAAGTTTTTAACACATCCTTATTTACTTCACAGGGCTGTTGACGATTAGTTTCTGGAATGCTGAGTGCAACAAACTTCATACCACACTGTGAAGTGAAAGAACTGGTGGAATGGCAAACGAGGGAGGTCAGCAACACTCTCCCTTTATCACCACTGCAAAAAGGTTGGTTTGCAAAGGGAGAGCCAACAAGCTGAGCACCAGGACAGGTCAGTCAGAACAGCAGAGGAACAGTAAGAACACAAGACAGAAATGGAAAACAAACAAATAAAAAAATCTCAAAACACAAAAGCCCTTAGAAAAGCCACTTTGGGGAAAAAAATTAAAATAATTTGAACCCAATTAAATTTATCCTGTGTTACTTAAAGAATTGGCTGAGACAACCTCTGTACTGCCAGTAAGTATTTCTGAGTGCACAGCCAGTTTCTGATGCCATCTTCAAGAAGAAAGGAAAGAAGGGAAAAAAAAAAAAAGGATACTGGAAAAAACCAAAACATTCCATTAACAAAACATTCCATTCCCTCCCTGTGAGTCACCTACCAGGTAACAAACAGAAAAGCAACAGGTAACATATATTTCTGAAGCAGTATCAAATCGTTTTCCTGCTGTTACAAGTTCACAGACATTGTGGACGGCCAAGAAGGTGCGAATATAATGTTTTTAGCAAAGCTATCAACACTGCTTCATACAGCTTTCATATAAGCAAAGAAGGAAAGCATTGCCTCGATTAAGTTACTATTAGATACCTCATAATTGGCTAGGAAATTGTGCTAAGAATGCAGATTAAATGAAACCCAAAACAATGAGTTAAAATAATGGGACTTGTAACAAGAAAAAAATCAGTTTTTAATAGAGTGAAGACATGACTGAAGGGAAAGAAGATGGTAATACTCTTCAAATATGCAATAGGAAGCTGCAAAAAAAGGAGATGATACATTGTCTCCAGTGTCTTCTGGGGATAGTAAAAGGGGGGAAAGAAAGTAATGGGCTCAAAATTGGAGCCCAGGAGATTTAGGCTATCTTTTAGTGAAAGCTTTTAACTAAGTATAATTAAGCACTGAAACAGATTGCCCAGGGAGACTGTAGATTCTCCATCATTTGGGGTGCTAAAAACCAGGCCAGAGTTAGATACAACTGGTCTGGCCTTTGGGCAAAGGCATAGACTTCATCTCTGTTTTTGAGATTTCTATGGCAACAGCGCCAGACATACAGATAAAGTAAACAGGTTATAAAGTTGGAACAATTCAAAGTGCATTTAATTTGACCTCATGTATATCACATGCTCACAGAAACACCCCAAGTCATTTTTCAGGCTTTTTTTCCAGAAATGTATCTTTTAGAAAAATGCAATGTTGATTATAAACCTGATAACGATGTAAAATCCACCACAACTGCCATCAAGTTGCCACATGGATTAATTATCTGCATGCTTAAAGAAGTAGCAGTGTGAACTAGTACTAGTAGAGCTTTAAAAATACAAAAACACATTTACCCTATTTTTCCAGATGAAAGAAAGCTCATTTTGTTTGGGGACTGAAAACACACCCTTGTTTCATCTCTAACAAACAAATCAACCTCTTGAAACCAAATGTTATTTGATTAGCTCATTAGCTAGTAGCTAAAACAGCACAGCTCTTCAGCAACAGAGTAGTTTTCCTACATACAGGGACTTAGTAAACACAGAGTAAATGTATCCCAAAGCTTATCCCAAAGCTTCCACTGTACCTACCATTGGGTCTGCTGGCTTCTTTTTGCACAGGGCAGTGAGCCCAGCCAGCAACGTTGGCTTCACATACAGGTTCAAGTAATCCCTTGCTCTTTGTCCAGTGGGAACTGGCTCCAGGATCGCTGGGAAGAGTAACCACAGGTGTTAGAAAGTAGCTTGTGGAGTGATTAAAACCCTTGCTCTTTCAAAGTTTGTTTATAGGTGAGCTGCTCTTCTCCTTAACAAGTTAATAATACATCATGGGGTTTATAGCTTCTCCCACAACAAACTGCAAAGAAACTCCCTAAACCTCTTTACAATGTCCCTGAGGTAATGTTACTAATTATAGTCTATTATGGAAAAGGAGGAAATCCCATCATCCCGGGAAAACCTGTATGCCTGAAGAGAAACAATATATCCCATGTTCAGCACTTTCTTCTGGCAGTGTGAAGGTGCTTTCTAAAGACCCTAAAGATCCCACCTTTAGCCCTGCTTTGTTGTCAGGGTGAGGAGAAGACATAACTTACAATGGGTAAGGTTTGGAGGGAAGTGCAACATTTTCTGCTAAATTCACTGATCTGCTTGACAAAAGCAGACGCGTTTTTCCAGCAGTTGCACTTGCATCTTTCTGTCAAAGAGCAAAGCCTGTTACAAACAAGAGATCCTCTCCCAGCCTTTCCAGGTTCTAAGGCCCCTTTCTTTGGCACTTAACTTTAGAATTGCACTGTCATGTGAGCATCCAGCTGTTTTTGAACAGGAATTACTCAGCCTGAGCCCAAGAAGAGAGTCAGCTGAGAATTCTCAAGCCAACAGGAGTCTCTGGGGCTGACAGTGCCAGAAACACTTGGAGTGTGACAGCTTCCCATTTCCTCTCATTTACCAGCTTTGTCTGCTCCAGTTCTCTGAGCACAGAGTTTGAAAAGTGGAAGCAATCCGTGTAACTGTATTGGCTCTTCAGACAGATTTGGTAGCCTTTCATAGAAGTACCAGCTTATACATAAAGGGACCCACAAACAGCAAACAAACCCAACCTCTTCTAAATCAATTGTATCTGGAGTCTGGGCAGAGACAAGTAATACCAGGGAAGAACAGGAAAGGAATTTACCCTCCCCAAGACTGGCAATGTATCAACTGAACCATTTTACCTTCTGGAAACATGAATCGAATCTCTCTCTCTGCCGAGGAAACGCTGAGACTGCCATGAAGCCCATTCCTCAGCTCATCAGTCCCATAGAGTGCTCTTAAGCTAAAAACCAAGAAAAATAACTGCTTGGAGGGCAACTGCAAATCCCTCCCAGGTCTCTGGAGGCTGAGAGCACAGAAAAGCAATATATATGGACTAATTAACAGGACACAGGCTTGATTTTGTTTTAAACATAGGAAGTAGCTACCTAAAACTTCTGTTCAAGCACTCATCATTCCCTATAAAAGAAGTGAACTCTACATAATAAAAAACAAAGGTGAAAAGCTGCTACACAAAAGTGAAGAGACAAGAAGCCACTCCAAATCTGTGTCTGTACTGTACAAAAACAAAAACAAAAAAAAAAAAGGAGGAATTCTGGTCTCAATTAAGAGAATGACAAAGTCCTGCTGACTTCCCCAAGGCCAGTCAGTGAGTTACCTGTGAGGGTGAGTTATCCTAGCTCTCAGGCTGTTGGATGGTCCAAGCAATTCCTTCCAGTGTGAGATTGCACAATGTCTGGCAAGAACCATAGCAACTAAAGGGCCAGAACTCATATAGGCTGTTAAATTAGGAAAAAACACTTTCCCAAATTGGTCTGCATAGAAGTTGCTACATTGCTCTGGGCTTAACTGGAGCCTTCGTTTCTATAAAGTGTAAAAGACAAAAAAAAGAATTAAAAAATCTTGGCACATTAAAAGAGTTTAGAGCATTAAAAGACCTCAGAGACGATACAGTCCTCTGCTGCAGCCATATCTTCAAGTGTAGAACACAGAGCAACTTCCAAGCCTAATCTGATTCTCCCAGATCTGATTCTCTTTGAGATACAGAGTAACAAAGAGCAAGACTTGTCCAACTTAATTAAGCAGACAGGCCATTTGAGTAAGATGTGATTTTAGCCCAGGCAAACTACAGCATTTTCTAACTGCCGGATGACAGTCAGGGCACTGTACAGAAAAAGTGAAGAGTGTTACAAGGGCAGGATTTCATTATTCAGCTGCTCAAGCACAATGTTCTACTTTTAAACAATTTTCTCTCCAGCCCACACTGTTAATTATGCAATTGTTCTATTTTTCATTCAGTACTCATGCTTTGTCACTCTCCCAGTAGCTGCCTAGGTTGCAGGTGGCCAGGATCAGGACAACTCTGGGAGGTTATCAGAAAGCACAGGGCAGTCAAGAAAAAAATTTTAAAGTGCATTCTTAGAGCTCAAACTTACACAACAGAAGAGTACCATAAATTCAGAGCCCTAATAATTTTGCTGTCAAAAGCCATTGGAGACATCAGAAGACCCCATTAACATACTAGAATTAAATAAATAAATAAGTAAATATATCTAATTTGTTTCATCTTCTGATCATATCATATCAATAGAATCACGGAATGGTTTGGGTTGGAAGTGGCCTTAAAAATCATCTGTTTCCAACTTCTCTGCCATGGGCAGGGACACCTTCCACTAGCCCAGGTTGCTCCAAGCCCCATCTAACCTGGCCTTGGACACTTCCAGGGATGGGGCAACCACAGCTTCTCTGGGCAACCTGTGCCAGAGTTTCACCACCCTCACAGGGAAAAATTTCCTCCCAACATCCCATCTTTCAGTGTGAAGCCATTCCCCCTTGTCCTGTACCTCCATCCCTTGTCCCCAGTCCCTCTCCAGCTCTCCTGGAGTCCCTTTAGGCTCTGGAAGGGTCTCTAAGGTCCCCCCCGGCTGAACACCCCCAGCTCTCTCAGTCTGTCTGCAAAGCAGAGACGCCCCAGCCCACGGAGCATCTTCGTGACTTCCTCTGGAGTGCCTCCAACAGGTCCATAAATAAATAAATGCAAATAATAAACACAAATAAATAAAAGAACCAGAAAGGTACCAAAATACCCCACCCGACACAAGGGGGGGGCGGAGCCCCCGCCGCCCTCAGGCGCGAGCGCACAGCGCCCCCCAGCGGCCAACCCGCCGGACATTTACATATTCATAAACCATATTTAAATAATCATGAAGCCAATTTACTCTAAAAACAGCGGAAACCAAAAAGAAGTCAGACTGCAACTGGCCAGCTATCGAATTCAATTAATTTCTACTATCCCCCTGCCTACTGCACAAAACCTCCTGAGACCAGAATGATGTGCTCTCCAAAGAGTTACTTCAGAGAGTCCACACATCTGCTCCAGGCGTTTGCTAAATCTTTTATTAACCAAGTCAGTGTTTTCCTGTGGTCAGCAAAACAGTTGGTCTGCTCTGTTCCATCCCATGCACCAAGAAAAGGTCTCCTTACAGAATCTGGTAGCGATGCTTGATGACATGAAAAATATAAATTGATTTTTGGACACACAAGCTTTTAGTTACTGGCTTGATTGCTGAAAGTTAAAATAAATATCGTCCTGACTTATAAGCTGTAGTTGTTCTCTCTGGAGCACAGCCTGTTACCTGAACGATCGTGAATCCTGATCGGAGAATGATATCCTCTATTTCTTCTTCTTTATCAATGACATCAGGTTTGATGATAGCTAGAGTCTTTTCCACATAAATCTGGGGTTCAGGCATTAACACCTCCATCTTGGCTTCTAAATTAGAATTCACGTGGCCCTTTTGTCCTGCAATGACACCACGACATTTGGAGTTTGTCTACTGCACAGTCCCCTGCGGTGACATCCACCATGTACTCCGGGAACAGACAGGGACACCCCCACCTCACAAAATCCATAAGATGTTCTCTGGACTGGTCAGTGCCCTGCAGTTCACATTCCCATTTTCAGTGCAGCAGCATTTTGTGGAAAGCAAGGAAAAGATTTAATGTTGTTCTTCACTAACTCTGACACTGTATGAGGAAAGAGAAGTATTATCACACACCTTGCTGAGTGCAGGAGCGAGCCAGGCTCGCGGGCTCACTGCATTCCCACACCCTCCATCCACCAAACCTGGGCTCCTCCAAACCCCAAATCTGTATTCTCACGCATGAAGACTGGGGAGCTGGTCCATCTCTGAGCCTCAGGGTATTTCTCAATCGTTATTTAATTGCTGTATTTATGGGCTCAAGACAAAGTGCCAGTTTTCTCACTGAGCGGATGCATTGGCAAGCCCAGAGCACAGAACTGTGTCGGGAATGGGGGAACTATTTTCAGGGTTTCCTACAGACTTGTGACCACTTGTGACCTTCTTCTCATCAAGAATGGTGTGGGTGGGAAGGGACCTTAAAGATCATCTCGTTCCACCCCCTACCATGGGCAGGGACACCTTCCACCAGCCCAGGTTGCTCCAAGCCCTGTCCAACCTGGCCTTGGACACTTCCAGGGATGGGGCAGCCACAGCTTCTCTGGGCAACCTGTGCCAGGGCCTCCCCACCCTCACAGGGAGGAATTTCCTCCCAATATCCCATCTAACCCTGCCGTCTGTCAGTGTGAAGCCATTCCCCCTTGCACTGTCCCTGCAGGCCCTTGTCCCAGGTCCCTCTCCAGCTCTCTTGGAGCCCCTTTAGACGCTGGAGCCTTCTCTTCTCCAGGCTGAACACTTCCAGCTCCCTCAGCCTTTTGAAGCGAATTTAAACAGCAGGATGCTGTGGGGGATCGTGTCCAACGCTCACAGAACCGCACACAACGACACCTGCAGCGCTTCCCTCGCCCACCGCCCGCTCAGCCCCACGATCCCCACCCGCCCTGGAGCAGAGCCGGGCACGCAGCACCGGCCTGGCCGTCTCCCCCGCTGCAACAGTCGCACGTAACCGCTCCCGTTCCACCTGCCTCAGGACCGGGATGGGCTTTCCCACCCTCTGTTCCTGGGGGATTCCCGGCGATCCCGGCCCGCCGTTGCCAGGCGATGGCGGGGCGGGCGCGGGACACAAGATGGCGCCCGCGGGCCTCGGCCGCGCGGGGCGGGGCGGGACGAAGATGGCGGCGGGAGCGGCGCGGTGATGGCGGCGGGAGGCGGAGCGGCCCGCACGGGCCGGGAAAGCCGCGGGCCGCGGGCTTACAACTGGCGGCCACAGCTGCCTCGGGAAGGGCTCCCCGTGTCGTGCAGGAGTACCGTGACTGGAGGGGACTCCCAGAAAAACGGCATTTCTCCGTGATAATAAAAGCTTTATGTCAGTTTTACCTCAGGCTTACAACCGCTGAGGGAGGGGATGAGGTCACAGCGAACGCTCGTGAAGTAACGCGATTTATCGGGCGGGGGAAGAACACGCACAGAAGGCCTTTGCAGGTTATTTATCGGTGTTTGTGGAGGTTTCCTGTTTAGGTTCCTGCCCAGCAGCAGCGGGTGAGGGAACTCAGGGCGCACAGCCTCCGGCACACCCGGCCACTGACCCGCCTCCACAGCTCTCTAATGGTGTTCTTCAGCACTGTTATTGAATTACAGTGTCTATCCGGTGCCACTTAACTCTTACGAGAAAAAACAAACATATAACGAGTAGGAAACAGTTTTCTACATTAAGCCATGATGAGCTGCGCCTTAAGCAGAGCTGGGGAGCCACCATTCCCTGGGGGTTTATCGCAGATTTTGCATCATCACCTCAATACATTTGCTTTCTGCACACTCCCTGTTTCCTCAGCTCTCTGGGGTCTCAACTGGGAGCAATTACAGCACAGCCAACATGATCCTTTGTGCCACAGCCCAAAGGGCTGGGCGTTGGGTCTCCGGTGTCGCCTCCGTCCCTGTTTACCCCGAGCTGCCGGGATGGAGCCCGGCCAGCTGGCCCCACGCTATCGGGGCGTGGGCCGGAGAGCAGCACCGATAACCCCTGGGCTGGCTCTGTCACCCTGCTCTCAAAAACCGTGCGATCCGAGGTGCTCTGGAGACCTCGGGCCCGCTGGCGAGTTCAGCCAAAACTGCGCTTGAACCCTTGGGGTGACACTGACAGGGGGACGGAAAGAAAACACAGGAATATAAACATTATTTTTTTAATGAAATCAGACCAAAAGTAGATGCAAAGGAGGAAAGACAAAAAAGCCCCCCTACTTGGAGCCATAGATGCTGACACTGTGTGCCCTCGTTAGCTGAGGAAATAGCAAATTTACTGCACAAGCTGGTTTTAGTGTAGGAAAAATCCATTTTATCCTAATCTTTTTTGTGAGTCATGTAAATACTGTAAACATAGAAACAAGAAACAAAACAATGCAATTATTTCCTCTCAGCCAGTCTGAGATATGCTTAGAAACCAAAGATTGAAGTTATTATTCACATACCCTAAAAAAATGAAGGTTCCAAGTGCCTTAGACTTAGTAATTCAGATACAGGCTTTCCTTCACCGACATAGGCACATAGCATTTTTTAATTAACAGAAATACCTTATGCAGTGTTTTATTTGAAGACAGCGTAAACACTCCAGCTACAGAGAGATAATGGATAAACATGTTTTATTTTTTAAAAAAAATGCTGATAGAAAGAGTTCACCAATTTTTTAGTTTAGTTCAGAATTAATTCAGCAAGAGTTGTTCCTTTTCAATGAGCTCAAGTCTGACAGCCCTAGCTTAAATTTAGCAGTTAAAGTCTTCCTCAGCCTGCATGAACACTTCAGAATTATTACATAAGAAATGTTAGATTTAATATCCATGTAGAACAGTTAACATTAATCCCTTGCAATTTCTTTATTGCGTGCATTTATTTTTTTTTACAGTTAACCCAGTTAAAAAACCCCCAAACATCTTTCTGTGCATCCTTAGAGGCTGCAGTTTGACTGGGAGCAGAGCACTGTGCACTTCTCTCCTCTCCACAGGCCCTGGGGCTGTGTCAGAATTTCTCCTGCTCGCTGTTTCCAGAAGCATTTCTGGAGGGCGGAGAGTGTCTAATTTTAGTTCTCGGAGAATCCTCCGCTCTCCAATGGGCGAGCGGCTGCATCTGGAGCTGCAGCCAATTACCCGGGGTTTCCTCCTGCTACACTTCCCACGATGGTTTAATAATGCAGACGTACAAATTTAAAGTGGCCCCACACATTAAGAGAAAATCATGTGTTCCCCAACAAAGACACATCTTTTTGCACCAGCAGAACCTTAAAGCTTTCTTTTAAAGCCTTGGATGCCATAAACCTGTCCTTAAAGCTCTGTGTTAATAAATTATGTTTACTGTCTTTATAGTGCTTGAAAAAATACTTCTGATAACTGAAAGGCTGGTCTGAAGCATCTTCCCTAACTTCTGGAGGTCAGGGATGTGGTTTTAAGAAAAGAAAAAAACAAACAAAAAAACGAAAGTAAAATTATAATTACAATGCGATGAACCTTTGCAGTTCTGAATACTCTGGGCATAGCTTGGCTGCTGTATCTTATCTGTTAAGCGGTTTAACAAGCCTTAGTTGTCTCACTTATTTTTAGCTGGCATGGAATATAACAACATGGAAAGATTGTGGGCTGCAGGTGCATTTAAATCCTAGCAACAACAGATAAATAACTTTTTCAGGAAAACTATTATTTCAGAGCTTTGTACTGCAAGAAGGTGCAGAGCAGAAACTAACATCTTGTAGACTGTTAAAAAAGGAAGAAAAACAGAATGATGAAAATAACAGAGTGAAGAAAAGCTAAAGAAATAATACCAACTATTAGCATTGATTAAAAATGAACCTTGCATATCTTTTAGCTTTATTTGCATTTTGGTGTTAAGTACAGAAATGTTTGCTTCAGCAGCAATGTCCTAACTACACATTTACCACACACAACTTTCATTCACCACTGACTCTTTTGTCCTTTCTTTTCATGATTACCTGTCATACCTACCCACAGAACCAGCTTACCTTCCCCACTTGCTTCATCCATGCTTGCTCTTGCAGTGCAAAGTGTCTCTGATGGAAATCCTGTGATTGAGCCAACTTCCTCTCCTGCACGCCTGCTCTCTCCTCCATTTCTGCCTCCTCACAGCCAAACAATTCTCCTTCTGCAGCTCCTCTGCACTCCTGTAATCCTACTGAGCTTTCCATTGCTGCTGATTAACCCTTGTCAGGCCTTCCTTTCTGCTGTCCTCTGCTTGTTATCTCACCATTTTCTTTAAAGATAAAAGTAATAAGTTAGTCTCTTGCTGCTTCCTCTGTCTACAAGTCTCTAAGTGGCAATAACAAAAGCTTATCTACACGTCTTCTGGAACTCCATCACTTGCCTCGTTTACTTCACTCTATATCATTTCCTGATCTTCCCAACACCTACTCCTTCATTTGCTCACAGCTTTACTTGTTCAGTCTGCTCTGACCCCCAGCACCCACACAGATATGCTTGTCTCTTTACCTTAAAAAAAAAAAAAAGTTCCCTTCAAACTTGGTTTTGCTTCCTCTCATCATCTGAAGGCTTCTCAATCCATCTTAAACCACTCTCTTGTTTGCCCTTCATTCGCATTTAGCGTACCTAGATCGTGTCCTAGCTTAGTTTGTGCAGTTATTCTCACCTGTTTCAGCTGGTTCAGCTTGGCTTGTCAGTCCTTTCTCTTGTGTTTATTTCCCTTTTCTGCAGTGGTGAGTGCCATTTTTGACTCTCCAAGCTCACATCCCAATGGCAAGTGTAGGTGGGATTGCCTCTCAGCACTGCCTTCCAACTTCAGGTGTCTCCGTTGCAATTCAAATCTGGGTAATGAGAGTGTGTTAGACAAACCATCTGCCTGAAACTCAACCCCTTTTCACTGAGTGATTTTACAGCCAACTGAGGAAAGGAGTGGGAACCTTACAAACGTGGTTTGGGCTCAGATTGGTTTGAACTGCTGGGGAAGAGTCAGCCAAGACATGGTCTTTGTTATTCATTGATGTGACTGGGGATTGTGCTCGAGCTCTCCTCATCTCACTTACTGATGACAACTTTTTCTCTGGCCTCAGCAGATAAAGCACTTGCTTCCATTCAGAAAGCCCTGCAAGGCCTTTTCCTTAGTTATTCAGTAACTATGTTAGTTTCCCACACCTTTCCAAAGAGAGGGGTCTCTAGCACACACAAACCTGTTATTCTTCAGTTCCAAGCTCATTCATGCACTGATCTGGTTCTAGGTACCTTTTGTTTCACTCTGTAAAGGTATCTTCTGTGTCCTGGCCCTACAACTGAATTCCACTACTGCCCTTTCAAGTAAACACCTTCCTGCTTTATCCCACGTTGTTGCTCAGGATGAGCTCCTGTTGAACACCTGTAGAGGTTGGCACTGACAATTTGTTTCCTATAAAGCTCCTCCTCATCTGTATACAGACATTCTGTACAGGTACTGCATATTGATATTAGGCTTCTACCTAAACTTTTGGATCAGAAACACTTGCAGGCATTTGCTGCTTCATTGTTCTACATAATGTTTAACATAATACTGGCTTGGATTACCCCTGAGGCCTCTAAGCTCAGGGATAAGTACCCAGTGTGATCCCATCCATGATGAAGAAATGAGTGTATGAGTAAACCAATAAAAATATTTTATCTAATGAATTACAAGAGGCAATCAGTTTAAAAAGGCTTTTTTTTAAAGCCAGTGCCTCCTCAAGGGCATCTTCTCTTCATCTCAGTTCTGTGTTGCATAAGGAATCTTTTTTGCCATTCTTATTTTTAGCACTTACCTTCAGCCCTACCACTGGGGTTACTTGCATAGTTATTATTATTAATAAAATGTATTTATTTATGCTGTGTAAAGACTAAGACAGAAGCTTTCTATAGCATCTGTTCTATAGCATCTATAATTGGTATAGAACAGGCAGTTTGTGGCCTGAGATGCTTACAATTAATTTAGACAAGAGAGACACAGGGATTCAAAATTCAAGGCAGTGAATGATGTTTGTTCTCTTTTTTTTTTTTTTAAAGAAGAGGGCACCTAGAAAAATCAACACAATGGAAATAATGGGAAAATGGAGAGGATGAAGGGAAGGAGGCAATGAAGACAGGTATGGCACAAAACTGGTATGAACAGTTTTCAAGGCAGGGCTTGGCATACACTGCAAGTTTGATAGAACAGCAAAATTAGGCCTAAGATCAGAAAGTCCAAATGCAAGTAAAATTCAATTGAAATTCAGGCATTACCATGAATAGTAATTACAGGATTAAAAAATGGCAAACAGTGATAGTTTTTTTTTTCTCAGTGGTAAATGTGTCAGGTAAGGAGAATTACCACCCAAGAAGGTATGTGTGTACTTTTCTTTGATTAACCACAGGTTTTGAGTGGGGAGTGAAATGCAAGACCAAAACCCAAGTCACAGCCCTGAGGAATTTTTTAAAATTACTTGTGGCATGATGGGGCCTGGTGAGAAAAATTATAACCATAACAACCCATACTCTTAAGTTTCTCAGTCTGCCATGTCTAGATGTGTAAAGAATGACTTTGTTAGTTGGGCCAGGCACAGTTTTCAAACCAGGCTGCTTAGCCAGTCTACAACCACACTGTTATCCTGGTGTTGGACATGGGACACAGGAGGCATCAAACAGCTATTAAAATGGGATGTCTGGGAATCACAGAGAGCCCTGGGAGCTGCTGTTTGGAATTGCTAAGATGAGAGACTGAGATGGACCTGACCAGGAGAAATGGGCAGCTGGAAAAAACACAGCTTCAAAGAAAGATCTGTTAAGCAGAAACAGGAAAACACTTGCCAAAGTGCCAGTGTAAGGGAAAGATGAGACAGGTTCAGCAAAGCAAGAAAGAGAACTGGGGGGAAAAAAAGGAGAAAAGGTAAATTTATGGAAAAGTCCAAGTGAGATGTCAATCATTCACATCCTTAGCAAGACTCTGTGAAATACAAAGCAGAGGTTATGGGCAGTGAATCTTCCAAGAAAATGAAGTAATAAATATATCATGAAAAGCACTCAGGTTACATCTATCAGCTGAGCCTAAACTTACCTGACAGACCCATGTAAACTCTGCAATTTTCATTTTACTCTCAGATGCTGGTCTATAAACTTGTAACTTCAGGGCAGGTATATTCCTGCAGTCACCTGCCAGAACTGCATCCACAAAAACCTGCAAAAGAAGGTGGGCAGAGCACAAAATCAGTGGTATTCACCACTTCATCAATGCCAGCTACAGCAACCTGCAAGTATCAGTGTGGTCTGAGCTCCAGGTAATCACTTAAGCAAATGTGTGGTATTTTCCAATTAAGCAGGCTATCAGCACCATGTAAGTGAATGCAGCCAGCTGACAGACAGTGGCTGAGCTGGTTTTAATCACAAACCACACCTTTTTGGTGTAAACCTGATTGGTTTACAATCTAAGCCAAAGCTGCCTGAAGAAGTCACAAGAAGCCCTCTTGCTGGATGTGGGGTAAGCTCTTCTGAGATGGTATAACTTAGGATAAATATTTTAAGAAAAAATTATTTGCTTCTAACGTTTTATTTAAAGCTTAATAGAAGAAAACTATCTAAAAATATATTCTCATAAAGATAATTATCTTTGTCAGCCAACATCTGCAACCTGTCCTGAGGACATTGCAATTTTCAAGTGTACTGGTTAGGTGCTCTTTGTACTGTCTTTACTGCCCTGACCTGAGAGAACATTGTTTTATAAAGTTCAGCCTAAACTGTAATTTGTCTATGGGGTACCCCTACCCTGTCAGCAGCCTATGTTGAGATAGACATGTCTGAAGTTCTGGCCTACTGTATTTAGGACAAAAAGAGCTCTAAAAGAAGGACCGCTAGGATCTCAAAACAAAGACTTAACAAAATGTATCACCACTATTTATTTTTATTCACAAGTAGCTCTGTGCACTCCTTCTGAGTTGTAACAGCACATGAAAATACCCAAGTTGAGCCACGAGACATATTTGAGAGGGTGGAGCGGGCAGTACCACGTGCCCTCATTACTACGGTAAGTTAGGTAATAATTACTACTTTTTGCCCACAAGGTAAGGACTTAACTTTTATTTTCTTTAAAGATGTGGCCGTGAGCTCTGGCTGCATGTCCAGAAGCCAAGCTCCGTCCCTTTGACATGGACAAACGGGACGTTAGGAGCTGTAAACTGTACAAGACCGTGAGCTGTGGTTACAAGTCGAGTTCTGCACTTTGCAGCCCAACTTTGCCAGGGAGGCTGACATATCCCTGGGCGAAAGGAATTAAGGGCTGGGCACGTGCTCGGCGCTCCGGCTCCCGCAGTTATGTAATATCCAACCTAAATTTAAAAAAAAAAAAAACAAAACAACACCAAACTCCGGTCCCTCTTGGGCTGCAGAACCAGCGGAGCTGGAAACACGAAGCAAAACCTTCCGTGTCCTGAAGCAACGACCGACTCCGTGCACAGAGCGCACCTCGAGCTGGAGCGGCGGGCACTGGGAGTGAGCGCAGCACTCCCCTCACAGCCGGGTGGGCACAGCGAGCCCCAAGGGCCGCGCTGGGCCCCAGTCCCGTAATCCGACATCAATCCAATATCGCCTATCCCGCTCGCCGCTCTTTCCGCGGCCGGTCCCGCCCACCGCCGCAGCGCAGCCACGGCGAGCGCGAAAGCGCTGAGTGACAAGGCGGCGACGGCCAAGAGGGCGTACTTGTTGCGCGGGTGGCGGCAGGCTCCGGCGCTATAAAGGCGGCCACGCGTCGAGGGCCTGGGCGCGAGTAGGTGTCTGAGGGGGAGGCGGCGTGGCGGCGCGGCCGGAGCGGAGCAGCCGCGGGCAGCGCGATCGGCTCCAGCGCCGGGGCACTTTTAATCGGACTCCGGACGCAGCCGCGGGCAGCGCGATCGGCTCCAGCGCCGGGGCACTTTTAATCGGACTCCGGACGGCCCGGGTTTTATCGGGAGCGGGTTTTAAAGTGAGTACCGAGCGGGATGGCGGCGGCGGAAAGGGGGAGGGGTGTGAGCGGACCGGATCAGACCGGCCCGGCCGGGGAGGAGCCGCCGCGCTGACCCGCGCTCGTCTCTCGCAGAGCCTCTCGTCCCTCTCCCTCAGCGGACGGGGCACCATGTCCGAAGCGAGCAGCAGCTTGGCGGCCGGCGCCACCCAGAACGGGCCACGAAGCGGCCGAGAGCGCCGGGGAGCAGGCAGCGAGAGCGGCGCGCCCCGGCAGCGGCAGCAGCAGCAGCGCGGCGGGGGAGCGGGAGCGGGCATCGGCGGCGGCGGGAGCCGGGCCGGCGCGCGGGCACGGCGGGCACGGCCGCCAGCCAGAACGGGGCGCGAGGGCGACCAGATCAACGCCCAGCAAGAACGAGGAGGACGCGGGGTAAGCGCGCGGCGCCGTGCGCGGCCCGGCGGCCCGGCAGAGCCCCCGCCCGCGCGAGGGCGGCGGAGCAGGCCCCCCGAGCCGGGCCTGCAGCACCAGCGCTTCCTTGTTCTGGCGCTGCTTTGTTGGCGCCATGTGGCGGCTGGGGGAGGGGCGCCGAGCGGGGCTGGTGCCGTCTCACGCTGTAAAATGGAAGGGGATTTACCTCTCCCGCGTTTTTCCTCAGCCTTTTCCTCCCGAGCGAAAGGGGCGGATGGAAGGAGTTGCTTTGTGTTGCAGGGGGGGCTGGTTGAAACTTTCTGGGGATCGCATGACCGGCGTCGATGTAAATGCGAACGTGTTTTGTGTAACGCGCATAAAAAAAATAATCCTGGCTTTGGAAGGCGGTCGGGGTAAGCCAAGTACTTTATAAAAGAAGTAAAGGGAAAACGGGGACGATGGAGACGGTGCGCGGTGCGTTCAAACCAGTAAGGGCGATTTTGGTGTGCTACTTTGCAGCATTGTCAGAAAACGGCTTATGTCTTGCAAGTGATTTCTGGAGGAGTCAGAGTAGTTTCGCTGTGTTTTGGTCGAGGCATCCTTGTGTACAAAAGAGGAATTTCTTTCCTATCATAGTTTGTCTGTCTGTTTTCTCAGGCGGGTCTTTGTCATTCAGGCTACCCTACGTATTTAATTGGAACTCCCTTTGTTATCACCGAGCCGTGGACCAGAGGGTCAGATCCCTCAGGTCAAATAGAGAGCTGAAGCCAGTGTAATAGGTTTTGGCTGTAAAGGAACGAATAAGACTTGCACAAGCTTCCTACAAGCTGGAGCCGGATGTACCTTTTGCAGACATTAGAAGAATTAAAAACCAGGCCCTCCAGCCGCGTGTGAATTTTCCTTTTACTGTTTTTAGTGTTTTGCGCTGAAAAGAGAGGGTGATGCTCTTACTTTCCTGCACAGGAGGTGACAAGTTTCAACCCCAAATCCGTATGAAATGAAACTTCCAAGAAAAGCAGTTATTTTAGAGGGATTGATTGGCCTATGTGGAAAATGTAGTGCTGTGCTAAAACAAGAGCTGTCCAAGCCACTGACATTAGAATGTTCTGTTAAGACCTGAAACAAGCTTCGATTTAGCTGCACCAATTCTCTCAGGAGGGGAAAAAAAGACTATGTGTTAAGGGTGCCGTTGTCCAGTTTGTGGCCTCTGAAGACAAACCCAGATATTAGGAATTTGGCCATAGTTTCAAAGGCTCTATATTGTGTTACTTAAATACCTGTAGGTATCGGTCTTCCAAGTTACAAAACAAAGCACTGCAAATTGCAGAGTGTGATGTGTGCTGCTGTGGTAAGAGGTGAATTGAGTGTGTGGCAATGCCTGTGTGTGCACCACAGCCCCAACCCGATGGCATAAAGCAGCTAAAGCTGCCTCTGGACAAATCCTGTCATCCCCCAGCCCCCGAGTTACTCTTGATCTAAGTGTAGTCAGTGATGCCGGGGTGTGCTGTGGAGAGCTGCTGTGAGTCTCTTCGGGTTATAGCTCGGTCAGGGAGCTGTGATGGGAAGGAATCCACCCAGTGACCGTCCTTTAACCTGGTATTGAAAGGCTTAATAAACTTTGTAAGGCTCTGCTCTAGCGGCTGCAGGACCCTGTACATCCTGCTGCAGCCACCAGCTAAGAGTGCACAGCAGGTTTTTCTGGAAAACACAAGGGTTTAGCCTGCAAAGGATAAACCAGATTTCATCCAGGTTAAGAAAAAAGGGCAAAACCCCTATAACACCTTTTCTTTTCTTTCCCTACTTTTTTTTTTTTGAATATAAATGGATAGCAGTTCTAGCAAATCAAAGTTACACATAAGCCCCCAAAGCCAATTTTACTTAGGCACAGTCTAGTTTTTAAAGTGCTGATACCTCCTAGTGCCAAATCTAGGTTGCCTCTAAACAGTGTAATGACAACTTAAACTGCTTCAGTCTATAGTTAGATAAAAAGGCTCAAACGCTTTTAAAAGCTTAGTTTGTTACCTTGGAAACTCTGAAAATAGAAAATACAGCCGTGTTATTAATGTTTTCATTTGAAGTGAAGCATTTGAAAAATGCCTTATTGCCTGATATCACTGTTTTTGTTTTTTAGCTGTACTTGTGTATTGTGTCTCACTAGAATTTAGTTCTTTGAGATGCATCTCCTTTTTCAGAGAATGTTTTGTGTGGGAAAGTAGGCAGGGAAGGACTGTATTGGCCTTTTTGGAAGTAAAGGCTAATAGTGGAGAGGCTCCTGTAGTACTGCAGGAAGACAGAACTAGATTCAGTAACTAAGCAGGAAGAAGTGTACAACATAGTAGTTAAGGCAGGTCCAAAGTCCCATCTCATGTATGTGACTGCTATTGGAGGTCATAGATACCTGGTTTAAATTTTGCAGATTGTTCCTAGGACTAAAATTTTTACAGCCATTGGACCAAAACGCTTAAAGTAAGGCTTTTAATGCCTTACTCTTTGCTGGATGCTTTCAGAGCAGTAGGAATGATCCTGGATTCTTTGCAAAAACTGAGTTGGCAGTACCTGATAATCAATACTGATTTTTTGCAAACAACCTAAGAGCATAAGTTAGTGGTGAAGAATATTTCAGGCAATTTGTGCTGTTTCTTATAGCCTGTAATCAACTTCAGAGTGCATTGTGGCATTTCCTCAAAAAGAGGGGGAGAAACCCACCGTGGTGCACTCCTGTAGTACCACCAGCTTTAGACAAGAGGCAAGTGTTTAACTTGGACCAGTCAGTCGTGTTCTGACAATGCTGCTGAGGGGTGTGCCACTGAGCATCTTGCTGCATGGCCTTTGCTGTAGTCCTTCCTGAATCTAAATAGCTGTTCTCTTTGAAATTTCAGGAAGATGTTTGTTGGTGGCCTCAGTTGGGATACGAGCAAAAAAGACTTGAAAGATTACTTCACCAAATTTGGTGAGGTAACCGACTGCACGATAAAGATGGACCCTAACACAGGAAGATCCAGAGGCTTTGGATTTATTCTCTTCAAAGAACCTGGGAGTGTTGAAAAGGTGAATTTGAACTTCATATTTTGGATCCTTAACTTTGAGGGGAAACTTTTCAGCTTGAATTAACCATACCAAACTGTCTTTCAGGTTCTGGAACAGAAAGAACACAGACTAGATGGCCGACTAATTGATCCCAAGAAGGCCATGGCAATGAAAAAGGATCCAGTGAAGAAAATATTTGTTGGTGGACTAAACCCAGAAGCTACAGAAGAGAAAATCAGGGAATACTTTGGAGAATTTGGAGAGGTGTGTAATGTTATCCTAGTAAACTCTGAAACATGTTGCTATTTAGTTTACTAATACTTTGGAAGTTTCAAAGTAAATTAACTTCAGATGTATCAAGGCTTCTGTAACTGATCCAGAGGTTTCCCACCTTGAGAGCAAAGGTGGCACATACTACACTAGATGCTTCCAGTGCTACTTGGATACCCTTGCCTTTAACTCAAAAGCATTTTTAGCTGATATTAAAATTGGTTTGAAGAGTTGTAAAATGGAAATCTCTGGTCTGAAGGCCAGTGTTAATATAGAAAGACTAATGCAGCTTTGGTGTTGCATAATATGCATAGAGAGGAAAGTTAATAGTTTTACTGTCCCAAATGCCTTGTACTTAAGTGTTCTGCTAAAATACAAGTCTGAAAATAGTATTTCATGTCTTCAGATTGAAGCAATTGAACTTCCAATGGATCCAAAGACCAACAAAAGGAGGGGGTTTGTGTTCATCACTTTCAAGGAAGAGGATCCAGTGAAGAAGGTTTTGGAGAAGAAATTCCACAACGTCAGTGGAAGCAAGGTAGAAACTTTGACTTACAACTTTTTGTCCAAGTTACTAAGCATAATACCACTACATCTGTAACCTGGAAAGGTTTTTGCAGACCTCTTGTGTCAAGGTACTAAATTTACAATAAGGACAGCTTTCAGTTTACCCTGCTGTTGTTTTGCCATAAATTCAGTCACAGATTCTTTGCCAATATTTATGGCTTTAATAATTGCTGTGTTCTAGGGCCTTTTGTATGTAAAGTATCTAAGGGCACTCATTACAAACACATGGAGAAACTGGCTTGTGTAGCAGTATAGGCCTTATCTGTTGATGTGGCTTATTTTCAGCATAGAGCCCTTGCATAAATGTAAGCCTTAGAGACACTAACTTTGTAAGCAGCTGGCTAAAGCTGGCTCTGCCTGGCTGGGGGCAACTTCTGGTTTCTTCTCTCAGAAGCCCCTTCCTGCAGCCCCCCTGCTACCAAACCCTTGTCATGTCAACCCACTACAAGGATCCAGAGAGCAAATGTAAACTTTATGGCAACTTGTACCTGGTCAGCTGGCTGTGGGAACTATTGTAAGAGTGGTATGAGATGCTCTGAACAGCTCACTGCTCATCTAATAGAGAGGGAACAGCTAATAGAGGCTCATGCCTCAAGCTGATAAGGAGAGGACTGGAGGCAAAGGATGTGTACTGGCTGGAGGTGTCCCTCTTCCTTTGCTCTGAGGCCAGTGCTGTCCATACACATAATTTCAAAGCCCTGTTACATTTGGTCATACTGTCTGGCACAGTGACTTAGATTGCACTTAGACTGGTTTTGACACAGCACAAAATAAGCTTTGGCAAATGTAATGCATTGATCAAGTCTGTTTTCAGGAGAGATGAATACCTACATGCCAAGGAAGCTGAGAAATTTCTGTACCTACTAACTATGGCTTGTTGTGTCATAGTGATAATAAAAAACAGGTTACCTTAAAGGTCCTGTGGTGAAGAACTCCAGGCCAGACCTGCTCAGGTGCTGTTGTTCCTTTTGCAGCAGCAGTAGCTTTCATCTTGGACTGTGCACAGATTCAGGAACCAGGCAGCTGACTGACAGCTTGAGCTGCAGCCTGGGAACCTGCCTTGGAAATGTCAATTCTGATTAGTTTTTTTTAGCTGTTAGTATTTGATAAGTGATGATTTTAGTGTTGGTAGGGGTACTGTACAGTCCAACCACATGCACAGGAATAGGGTGGGCAAAGGCTGCCCTCTCACCTGGCACAACCTCCAAGACAAGGCTGTTGCTATCAGACTTCACCTGAGCTGCACTGAATGAACAAGGCTCAGAGTCTTCCTGGCAGCCTACAGGAGTGGTGGCATCAGCACCTCTTCCAGGGGGAGACTGATGGTAGGAATAGGCAGAATAAAATGCCCTTAAAGCAGTGGCCTCTTTGAAGGGCTGACAGTGACTTACCTTTGCCCAGGTGGCACAGTAACTGAGACACTTCTGCATTAGCGCTGCTCACCTGGCATGAGCACAGCGTGTCCACCTCCTTTGCCTCCAGAGGAACCTCTGGATTTCCCAGGAGCTCAGGGTGGGTGCTGCTGCTCTAAGACACCTTACATACTCTTCCTTTTTTATTTTCAGTGCGAGATTAAGGTAGCACAGCCAAAAGAAGTGTACCAGCAGCAACAGTTCAGCAGTGGTGGAGGAAGAGGTAGCTATGGAGGAAGAGGCAGAGGTGGAAGAGGCGGCGGTAAGTACCACACACACTACTTTAGTATGGACACATTCTAAATAAGTTGTGTGTACTAAAATGGGATTTTGTGGATGGTTTTCCCTTCTATAGCTCAAAGTCAAAATTGGAATCAAGGTTATGGCAATTACTGGAACCAGGGTTATGGGAATCAAGGATACGGCTATCAGCAAGGTTATGGTGGCTATGGAGGCTATGATTATTCAGGATATGGGTATTATGGATATGGACCAGGCTATGATTACAGTAAGTAAAGAGAACTGTATTGGGTATAAGCAAACGTAACTAATTAGCAGTTTAATGCATTTGTTCTCTTGTTCATAGGTCAAGGCAGTGCAAATTATGGGAAGACACCAAGACGTGGTGGTCATCAGAATAACTACAAGCCATATTGATCAAACTTATTCAGGTATGCAGTGGCATGGTCTCTTTTGGAAAATGACTGCATAGGTTTTGTATACAATGCTGTAGATGGATACTTCAGTTCTGTACCAAATTTAACTTTACAATAAATTTCTATGGCCTGTTAAATGTGCATCTTACTTGGAAGAGCTCCCTGGAAATGTTTTACATGTTTAATACTTCAGATAACTAGTTGTCTAGACAGTGTGGTGTGTAAATTTCAGCATTGCTGAAGATATTAATTAATGATTTTATTAATAGGTTAAACTGAAACTGATTTTGAGGGTCTGCTTAAAGCTGCAGCTCTGCATCTAGGGACTGCCTCTTGGAGTTAACTATGGACTCTGCATTACTCCAGTTGTACAGAATGAGATGCATCTTAGGGAACCAGTGTCACTTTCCACCTTTTTATTTTGTATTGTTTTTGTGTCATACATTTCCTGTAATGGAAGTGTTAATTTTACTGTACTTTTTGGTACCTTTTTGGAATCTAATGTATTGTAAGGTATTTTACATGTGTTCTGATTCACCATGACATGGATATTGAAGCTATCCTAGCTTTTGAAATAAAAAAGGCGTAATCTAGTGTCTTGTGCCATTCTTCAGCTTATGTGTTAGTAAAACGCCAGTTCCTGTTCCCAGAACTTAGCTCATGGCAGTACCTTGATAGATGAAGAGTTGTGCTTAATGTTGTTAATCTTGAAACTAGAAGGTTGTGTTGGTAGTTGTGCTCACTTGCAGTTAAGTGGCAGCTGAAGCCTGCAGTGGCTTCTGCCTGGAGGTTGTGGAGGAGAGCTGAGGAGGAGAGCTGAGCTGAGGAGCCCCAGCAGTTGAGGCTGTGCTGGTGAGCTGGTGGCTCTGCCCTAGGCAAGCACAGGGGCTCAGTGTAACTGTGTTGGTGTCTGCATTGGGCTCTGCTTGGAGGAGCCAGAGGTGTAGGTCTCAGGTAGGGCTTGGGAGCCTGGACAGCATTGCAGGAGGATGCCAAGAGGTGTGGAAGAAGCTGGGCTGCACTTCCTTCATGTTTCACTGTCTCGAGTCTGAGACTTGTCTACAAGTTGCTAATAGTATGTATATACCTGCCTTGAGAGGCAGGTTGGACAGACATTAAATTACCAATGCAAAGTTGAATTTTTGAAGCCTTTTTGTGTATCAGAAAAGGCTAAAAGAACTTCCACTACAGTTGTGGGTGGAAAAAAACATCTCTTTCTCTAGAGATGAGTGACCAGCTAGAAATAAGCTTTCCTTTTTTGAGTAGTTCACTATTTTAAGGCAGTAACTGTCATGTGATTTGCCTGTCTTGTTGTAGAATAGTCCCAGTCTCAGATTTATAAATAAGTAGCAAGCTCTGCTGCACAAAGTAAACTTCTAATATTTGTTGCAGTGATTCATTTAGGTTTTTTTCCTTTTAAAGATAAAACAGGACAATTTTTTTCCCTTGTAATAAATTCTCTTTGATGCCCAGAATTGGAATCAAACCAAGTAACTTAGACAAGAAATAAACAGATGTTACTAGTGACCTTTTCAGGTTTTTTAGCAAGGGATGCAGCTATTTCTGCAGGGACTATAATCTGCTGCTCCCTGCTGGCTGTCCTTGAAAAGAAAAACTTGCTTGTAAAGTTAGAATCTCTCTGTAAGACTCTTACTGGGTTAAGTGGAAATCTTGAGCATTAAAAAAAATGAATCAGATTTTAAATGTGATAGTTGAGAACTTTACAGCTTGACTTGTAACTTCAATCCCAACTTACTGACTTGCAAAAAAAAAATTTTGCAGACCACTGAAAGAAATGAGTACAGTATTTAAAAGTATTACTGTCTCAAGATGTAAAATTTCAGTGCTTTACTCTATTGCATACTTTTACTGGTTTTCCTGTGAAATAAGGGGTAGCAGAATATTTTTCTAGCAATCACCTGGCCCTCCAGTGGGAGGTTGGCACAGTACCAGGATCATTCTGCTGCAGTCCTTCTGTGTCCTAGCAAGAGTTTGTCAGCTGGCTGTTACTGTGGTGGATTTTGGAAGTAGGTTCTCAGGTAATGCTTCCTTGACAGGTGATGAGGCCTTAGGCAGAATCTGATGACACTGGTACTTAAATGCAGAGCTGGCTTTTCCCTTTCTTCTTTGTATGAAAAGTTTATGATACAAAGAACATGTACTTGCCTGGTGAAAGCAAAGGCATGTACACAAGGTGGTTGTTTATGGCTGTAATCTAATCTTAATTTCCTAATCCTGCTCAGATACTTCTTGAGGACAGACTTTGTACGAACTGGTTTGGGAACAGTGGCTCTCAGCTGCCTGTTCCTCATGCATTTGGTGTTAGGAATTTGGGACTGAAGTTTTTTGACTTAATCTGGTTGCTGAGACTGTTTGTTGAATATAGTGCTACCAGGGACCTTGTTATGACACTGGTGGCTGAGAGTGGTCAGGAGAGCCTGGGAAGGACTGGGTGTACTGGCAGCTAGACTGGTGTTTGCATAGGCAGCTGGAGGTGTAAACGAATGAGGGAACCCCTTGGGTCATCCTAACCTGAAAGAGCATGAATTTAGAAATTGTAGTTTATAGTAGCCATTAGAAAGATACTCCTTTATAATCAGTTTTAGATACAACTGCTTTAAATAAAAGGCAATTCCACACTGCCAGAATTGAGACAAGCTCTTGTAAAATTTATTTCTCCTAAAAATTTTACTAAAAACAAGATAACTGAAAATAACAAAATCAAAGGTGACTTATCTGATCTAAGACATGCTAGGATGAAGATTAAATGTGCATTATTATAGTAGAATAATGTTTCTTAGTAGTAGATCTTGTTTGAAACCTATGGAAAGAAAATAATGTTATGGTTTTTTGTAAAAGTATCATTAAAAGAAATCTACTTCATTGCCTCATTTTCACTTACATTATATGTAAGTGTCTTACTAGTACTGTACTTAGTAAGAGCCTTTTTGCATTCTTGGTTTCCTGTAGAGAATAAAAGCATTTTTCTTGCTTAGTTTAGATTACAGACAAGCACATTAAGTCATTAGGCCTCTAAGTTACACTGGCACTGTTAAGTAATCTTTCTGTTCCTAAGAATAAGTAGTATAAACAGCTGTATGTCTTTCCATTAACTTGCTAAATAAAATATTAACACATTTTTCTTGTGCCTGCTATACTAATATTACACTGCACTAAAAGCACATTTCTCCTTAGCTCAGGACTGTAGCACTGTGAACCTCATGGTGGTTGAAACCACCAATGATTACATGATCACAATGATCACATCAGGTACATTCCTGTCTGCTGTCTAGAGTTTTACTAAACATGGGGTTGTCTTTTAGTCTGAGTAGGTTGAACAAGTACTAAATGGACCAAAGGGTGCTGTTATCAAGGTGTAACTCTTAAGTGTACACTGTACTCATGAGTGTGTGGCAAACTTAAGTTGCAGATAGATGTCCTCTCTCAGCAACCTATGGAGGGACCTCAACAGATGAGGACTTAGGAGGCTTTAAAGACTTAACAGGACTCAGTCTTACTCTGGTGCCCCCAAACCTCTGACTGTAGGGGTAAATCGATGCTTAAGCCTGAGATACCATCCATGAACCTGAAATGATCCCAACAAGTAGGGAAAAATGCTCAAGGGAACAGAAGGCAAAAATATTTCCAAGTCAGATGTTAAGTAAAACACAAAAGCACCACTTACAGCTCTTCACAAAACTTTTAGCATAAGTGGAGGATCCCAAATTGTGGGATGCAGATGCCCTGACTGGCAGGCAAGGGGAGATCTGCTGAGAGGTAGTTATGCAGCTGGACCAGCTTCTGTCTGGAGATAATGGCACTGAGCATAAAGGCTCTGTGTGTTGATGTGCATGTCGTTTGCATGCCAAGGGTTAAACCAGTCACTCTGAGAGCTTCCCAGACCAGCACAGCATGCTGTGGGGGTAGTCATGTCTGGGACATGTTGGACCTGGCTTAGAAGCAAATGAGCACACACACTGTTACTGGGAGTGTCAGCCTCTGATAGAAAGGAGCTGTGAATGCCAGATGTGCACAAGTCTGGGCCATGCCATGAGATTGCCTGAAATTCCTGCAAACTAACTTCAAGTAAAAGCACCTCTGAGGAGGCTTTACTCTGACAATGCCTGTGAAGTTATGTATAGGAATCTTGGCTTTTAAATAGTACTGTGTGACTAGAGATAAATACCTGCTCAGGTAGAACAAGTAGATGTTTTCTGTTGGTTCAGATGTCCTTTTTCCATATCTGGAGAGAGAATAAGCAACAATTTAGCAAAGTCATGACTTTGAGACAAGGTTTTGTACTAACTTTGTTAGTGCTAAGTGTATAGAAATTGTATAAAAAGCTAAGTGGCAAATGCACACAGATTATGGCTTTTGAGAATATTTGGACAGTTTTTACCAGCTGCCCTTGTTCAGATAGGTAAACTCTTAAACCTCAGCCAGAGCAAAGCTGTTTTAAAAGGCATGTGCTGCATCTGTGGAGGAAATAGTTTTGTTAGAAAACTTCAAAACAGAGTAATTTAGAAGAGAAGGTTCACCATCTGCCATCTTGGCTGTATTGTGCCTATTTTGCCTTTGAGGCAGTTCAACAACCACCCTCTATTTTTGAGGGTTTTGATCAGTTCTACCTGTTAGTATCTTGTCCATTGTTTCCACAACAAATTTTGCATCCTCCATATTGAAGCACATTGGGGGCTTGAATTTCAGCACATTTCTTCCTGGTCCATCTGTACTCAGTAGAATATATTCTTCCTTAAGTCTGGAAAGAGCAATAACAAAGAATCATTTTTACTTTTGCATGTAGTTCAGAAGAACTTGCAAGCTCCAGCATGGAGGCTGTCACACAGTGCCTTTCCCCACCGACTGATTTCTTTTTTGGCCAGATTGTTGCACTGTAGTTTGTAGTTGTGTCCTTGCCTCCCACACTGAGGAACTCCACGACTGTCCCATGTACCTTGTTATCAGATACTCTGCTTCTGCTGGGGCTGGGGTCCTTTCTGCTTGGTCCTTGATTAAGTCCACTCCAATGAATAAGCCACAACCCCTTTAAAAGAAAACCAGTCACTCTGTGTCAGAGGAAGGAACTGCAAGTGAACTAAAAACCAGGTTTTGGTAAGACCAGACCTTAAATGCATGAGAGTTACCTGATGTTTGGCTACTGATAGAAGAGGTTTTGCTGTTTTGAAGAAATGTGGTAATACAGTATAGACTTCTGTCTGCTTAGAATGGCAGCACAAGACAGGATGTTAAGCATGTTTTCCATCTAGCTCATCACTTTTGTACTTTGTGCACTTGACATAAAAGTTCAAACAGGAAAGTGAACTCCTCTAGTAGCTAATAAATTGATAAAACAGTACTGACCCAGTGGCAAAGTATAAGAGACTTTTGATAAGCTAAAGATTAAAATAATCTAATGTACAGCAGGCTGTTTATTTTTGCTGAAAACACAAATTTAATTTCTCAAAACATCTGTTGGACTGAGCTGTTTGACTGCACCAAATAAAAAAGCAGCTAAAAATGTAAATAAGGCACTGATACCTGACATCACCAATGATGGGATGCTTGGTTTGCTGCTCCTTGAGTAGCTTCATCAAGAAGTTGCCTACCTCTGTGGCGTGAGCCTGAAGGTGTTCCTTCTCAATCACATCTAACACAGCTAATCCAATCGCACATGAAACAGGGTTTCCACCAAACTGAGCTCAGGAAAGGAACACACAGAGCCAGGGAAAGGGAAGAGAGATGCAATGGGGTCACTGAAAGTGTAGCCTCAGTGATACAATGAGCATACTACCACTTTTATCAGATGGAGTCAGTAAAGAGTCATATACCAGAAAGACAGAGATAGAAATAATACAGTAACACAGTTACTGTTTAGTAACTGTGTGGTAAATATTAATAAAATATTAATAAATATTAATAACAACACTGCATGATTATATAATTTTTAAAGGAGAGTTTGGGCAACTCTTTACTTACTGTATTAAAATACTCCACTCCTGTGGCTGCAAACGCTTCTGCAATTTCCTTTGTTGTTGCCACACAGGCAAGAGGGTGCCCATTTCCTATTGGTTTCCCCATAGTGACAATGTCAGGTATAAAGTCTTCTCCCTGAAGCTGGAATGCCCAAAAGTGCTTCCCAACTCTGCCAAAGCCAACCTGAATTTCATCAGCAATAAATACAGCTCCTGCCTTATGCACATGCCTGTAACAGAACAGATTTTACTGTCTCTTAAGAGGAAAGAGAACGTAATATTTACTGATTAAGAACATGCAGAAAGCATTAGTTGGCAAACTTTCAGGAAACAAACTTGTACAGGCCTATGTTCTAGATCATGTGTTTAAAAGCAGGTCTTTGCCATACAAAGTTCACATTCTAACATGAAGGCTTAGGTAGTTCCCTGCCTATCAGGCTATTTATTACAGCAGGCAGAGAAGTTCTCTCTTATCTATATTTAGCAAGTATGTTAAATTAAAAAGCTAAGGTAATAAATGACACTTACTGTGCAACCTTTTGAAAGTAACCTGCTGGTGGAATGATTTGACCTCCCACGCTTGGTAGAGATTCAACAAAAAATGCAGCAATCTGAAACACAGGTAGCATGTGATGTTTGAACAGAGTAGAGAAACTTGTGGAGCAAGCTCTTTGTCCTTAGATGGTTTTTGCATTATTATGTGATCTTTTCTTTTTGACAAGTCCATACCACTTAGCTCAGTAACCCTAAATGGCATTGACAGTTAGGCACATTCATTTCTAAGGCAAAACAAATGGTTAAGAAAGTAACTTTTTACCTTTCTGCCTCTCTTATGTGCACGCTCAATAATATTTTTCACTTCATCAGCATAAGCTGTCACTGAATCTTCGTGGTCTTCTCTGTAAAGTCCTCTGTATGTGTCTGGAACAGGAGCCTATGCAAAGGAACAATACCCTGTATTCAATATATCATAAATATAACTTCATTAAATTGACAGGTAATTGATAGATATAGGCTGAAGTACATACCACGTGGACCCATTCCTTTTGTCCTTCTAGATTTCTGAATTTATATGGGCTTATGTCAATCAAAGATGTCAGATGTCCGTGGTAAGCACTTAAAAAACAATTGGCAGAACTAAACAGTAATTTCCTTAGTATCAAGAGTTCTTCAGGATTAGCATTACAGATAGTGAAGAGTATCTAGGTTCTGTCCCTTGGTAGGAAATAGTCACTTAAGCTGAGCTCTGCAGTTTCTATCAAGCTTAGTACTTATGTGGATTTTTGTTGGTGTATCTGAATATAAGGGATGCAGAAGGACAGGACTGGTCACTGGTGTGCCTGCACTGGTGACTGGAATCACAGCAGGGTAACTGAGGAGCAGTATTACAAGACTGCAGAAGAACTGGAAGGGCCTATTTCTGAATATCCTCCAACGATGGAGCTGCCAGTGTCTGTGGGCATCCTATTCTAATATTTGACCATCTTCATGGTAAAAGATTTTTTCCTATGTCTCATCAAAATTCCTCAGGTTTCAACTTCTGTCTTAGGTCTTTTTTTTTGTCACTACACATCTTCAGGCCTGGCTCTTATCTTTTTTGCTCCTTCCCTTGGGACAGCTGTAGTTGCAGTAAGATCTCCCTGGCTGTCTCTTGCAGCTGAACAAATCCAGTCCCTCTTACTCCTGTGGCTCCCTACTCATTGTGCAGGTCACTACTGGCCTCCCTCCAGCTGTCTCTGTACTGGGGAGCCCAGCCATAGTTCTCTGAGCTGCTCTCACAAATACTGAACAGAGAGAAAAACTACTCCCCTCAGCTTCCAGGTTAGTCTTTCTACCACAACAGGGTTTCAGAAACGCTCTGACCGTGGGCTGAAACTGAGCCTTGTACCCCAAAGTAGATAAAATTGCCAGTGTACTTACTGATCTAACACGATGACATCCTCATGTTTTGTGTACTGTCGTGCCAACCTCAGGGCAAGATCGTTAGCTTCAGAGCTGCAATTGAAAAATTCAGTAAATGTTTCACTGAGGATATGTCCTGAGTTCTGAAAACTGAACCTCCCTCGCAGTGCTGTCTGTGTCTGCAAAGAACAGACAGAACTCAATGCATGTTTTGCACAGATCCCTTAGGAATCAGCACCAATTAGGCAGGAGTGCCCACCAGAACAGAATCCACCTTAAAAAGCTCAGTGCAGAAACTACTTTGGAAGCAGTTTGGGTTTTTTTTTCCCAGCTGTACCTTGCTTGAGATTATGACCCCTTTCCCCCTACCAGCAGAAATAATGCATTGGTACATTTAATTTTGGTTATAACTCCCAAGTCAGAAGACAAGTCAGACCAGAAACTAATACAGTAAATATTTACATTGCTGTTTTGTAGTCCAAGGCATTATAAACAGAATAAACCCCTTCTTAAATAAAGCATTAGTTTAGTTCCCAGGTAGAGAGCTTGCTTAGTGCGAACCTCAGTCACTGAACTTCTGAAAATAAGCAGTTTCTCTGAAAACCAGCACCCCAAACAATGTCAGTATTGAGTCACCCACCACACCATGCAACTGGCTGTTGATAAGCAAGTGTTGTACTTGTTTGTATATACCCAGTAAAACCCCAGTATCAATTCTGACGTACCCAACTTACCCAGAATTCAAAAAATAGAAGATGCATAATTTCTCAGGTAGCGTTTTTGAAAGTCTCTCTGCATAATCAACCAAGTTGTCATGAAGATAGCGAGAATTTGTATTTAACAATTGATTCTGTTCATGGGCTGCTTTAACTATATCGGGGTGACAGTGCCCAACTGCAAGAGAATGTGGAGAGTGGTTTGAGAGTTCTTCCCTGCTGCCCACATTGTTCATTCACATACCAACTTAATACTTTTATGATGACTGTAATTTCCTCAGTGGGGCCTTAATGATATTGTCAGCAGAAGACAATGTTGGTACACCTTGTAAAAACATGTTTTTGCCCCTCAGAAGGTCTGAAGTTGCCTGCTACTGTCCTTTAAGATTTGTAGTTAGTACTGAGAATTGACACGTTGAAACAAATAGTGTCTGATTTAATACTTAGATTTAGACATTTACATAATAGGAGTTTGGGAACGTGTTTTACCATCAAAGAAGTACTAGTCCTGGTAGGGCTTAGGTTTGAGAGTTTTCAAATACTGTAAGAAAGCAGCAATTACTCAGTAATATACAATTAAGGCACCACACTGAGCAGTAGTCCTGTGACTGTACACTTATCAGTAACTTTTACAAACACAACAAAATGTCATTTTGTTAGTTTTACAGGGAGGTGCTTTACTTGAGCTTCCATGGAAAAAAATCTGAATGTTTTAGATATGTTTCTAGGAAAACAGAACAGGGAGCAATTCTGGAGAGCACATTTACACACAAAGAAATTCAAACAAACCATATTCCCTGGAACTACAGGCTCAAGAAAGATTCCTTCCACTTTTCCAATTAACCCCCCCCCCCAGCACAGTGGAACAGTGGCAAAAGTACTGATTGTTCCTTGTTCTGCTTAGAACAACACAGCATCAAATAACATTTGACTTTAGCTTACCGTGAGCAACGTTGTTTATGCAGTCAAGGTATTGTCTTCCATCCTCATCATACATATATTGGCCTTTTGCCTTCACAATCTTCACCGGATCATTAGAGAAAAACAGCTTGCAGGAAGACCTGTAACAGGCATCAGAAAGCAAAATAAATCTTAGTGAGTTTAGTTTATCCTGCTGGTGATATTTTCAGTTCAGTTAGTTAATAAAGAGAAAGACATTTCCCATCTCTGTGGGCATGTGCTGTCATCCTGCTTCTGGCCCCTAAATGAAAGGCCTTGGGCTCTAAAGCAATTCAGATTTTGTTTAGATTTACAGGGAAAACCCCCAGAACTGAAAATCCTTCTCTAGGAATCTAGCCACAGCACACAACAGAACTCACCTCTGTCATTTCATCCTGTCTTTACTGTGACTCCTTACCTTACTCTGCCCTTCTCGTTCTGAAACCCTCTTTGGTGTCTCTTATCTTGTAATTGTTTTTATGATGTTCTTGCTATTGCCAAGGTCCTGATTTTCCAGGGAGTTTGGTGGAGGTGATTGTTACAGCTGTATAAAGCTTCACTTACCTTATTTAAAACACTCAGTGATATTATAAGGCTGAGTCTGCTTAAGTGCATTTGTTTTGTTTCACTTTTTAAACCGACTTCCAAACAAGTGAAATTGAGACGTCTGTCAAAGTAGGAGCTGCAGAGATTTGACTCTGAATGGCAATGCCAAACTTCCATAGTGCATTTACTAAAAGATTGCTTATACAGAAATGATTTGACTGTGATTACAAAGCTATTGTCAAATGGACAACAAAAAACAATGATACAGTGAACAGCTGCCTCACTATCCCTCCCTTACAGGAATCCAATACTCTCTGTGTGAGCTGGCACAGAATGGTAAAACAGTCGGGGTTTCTTTTGTTACCCTGACTGTTCAAAAGATGCTAAGAAAGTGCTTCCAGAGGCTGGGTCTTTGTCACCAGTGGTAGGGCAAAGCACCTGGAAAAAAGATTAAATACCTGGAGTGGTATTTTTCAGGTGTGTGTAACTGGCACATTTCTAATTCCAGCATTTACTTTCAGCCCAACTTCTGGATTTATAAAACACGTAAAAGTAGCCTTATAGTTTTTTAATATATATGATATGAAAGTATTCCTAAAGTTAAATACAGTTGTGTGCTGCCTTTCCTGGTGGTCATTTATAGAACCAAGACTTATTTAGGTTGGTTAAAAAACCACCAGTAATTGGAAGTTTGGAAGTGAGTCCTGTACTCCACTCTCTCAAAGTGGGCAGCAATATTTTGTTAATTATTTGTTAACACCACGTTTTTGGTGTACTAAGTTTTCTCATAGACTGGCTGTAACAGCAGGGGAGCCAAAGCCCCTCTCCCGGCCCAGCACGGCCTGGCAGCCCCAGCCATGCTCCGCCGGGCTCGCAGGAAACGCTTTCTAAGCAGTTTAGAGTCTACACCGGCACGCTCGGTATCATACGGGTTTTATACTTGAGTTTCGTAATCCCCCTCCTTAAGAAAGGCTAATTACCGTTAATTACCCACGGTAATTACCCCGGTGCAGCGGTGCCGGG